CAGAGACCAAGAAGGCTAGAAATCATCAAATTCATTGGCCTTTTCTTAGTCTTCATCTTTGACAGCTTCCTAGCAGTTGGAACTTTTCTCAGAGTCCTTTGCTCTCAGGAATGTTTCAGTTTATATGGGTAGGCAGAGGGAGACAGATATCATGGCATAACAGGGAACTGGCCAATGATTCCAGTAGTTTTCAGCATGTGCAGAATAAGACTAATACAACTCCTTAAATGCAAGAGCATAGGCATCTGGCTTCCAGGAGACACATGATGAAGTGCCTTCGAGAAATATTGAATCATGAAAAGACATTCTATAACTTTCTAATGTGCTAAATGCTTGGCTCATTCCCTGTTATTCATGCCATCAAAACCTTCCACTTGGCATACTACAATACCCTGCTAATTAGTCTCTCCACCTGAAGTCTGTCCCTCCTCTAATCCATTTTTCATACTGGTTGCCAGATAGATTAATCTTAAATATTCATAATTAATAACTATGATCATGTAACTATATGGCTTAAAATTGCCACTGGTTATGTGATATATTCCAAATTTACAAAACCTCTGGCTTCAGCCTATCTTGAAAGCCTTTTCTCAGACATTGACCTTGGCTTGCTCTGCAACACAGTTCAACTAGAGCACTTTCAATTTTCTATGCTTTCCCACCTCAATACTTTGATAACTGTTCTTAACAACTGCCCTCGTCACCATCCCTACTCTTTGACAGCCTATTTTATCCTTCAAAGTTCAGCTTCCTGAATTTCTTCCACGATTTTTTTCCTTTCAGGGAGAAGAAGGAGAGAAGATCTTTCCATTTTCTAAACAATAATGTACATATTTTATGTGGTATTACTGGGGGTTGGTAGGAGGTGGATGCCATCCATTGATGCCATCCATTTTTGTATTTTCTGCCACTAAATCCAGTTTCCTGAGTTCAAAGATGATGTTTTATTTATCTTTTTAGGCTCCTCAGTCCTTAGCATATTTGACTTTCACATAGTAGGTGTTCAAAAAATGTCTGTTGAATTGATGATTGAGAAAAAGGGGACAAAATCCAAGGTTTAAAGGGACAACCTAGACAAAAGTAAGTGATGACCACTTCTGGCTGCTTTTCTCTTTGGATAGAAATGCAAAATTTGGAGAACAAAAGAGCATGAGGTCTGAAAAGGAAAGGAAATATCTCCAATGAGGGAAGAAAGAGAATAGGAAAGGGTAGGTAACAATGTAGAAAAACTTTTATGCCTCCAAATTTTCCCTAGCATCAGTTCTATATGGTATAGTTCTCCACTGAAGAATTTTTCTTTCACAACAGCATACATGCAGTTTAGATGAGAACATGACATTGAGCTCTATAATGTAGTAGAGCAACTACTTATTATTCATAAAGATCTTTTAAATGACTGACAGTTATAAAAAGAGATTGATCTACACAGCTAAATTGGGTTGTATACAGAATTATCCTCCACCCCAATGCTTAAATGAACTTTGAATGTAGAGAATGAACTCAGAGATAAAACTATGAATCTACAGGATAACAGACTCAATACAACTGTAAGAACAAGTATTACCTCTGACCCACACTTCAACTAACTTCAATACTAGCGCAAAATTTAATTGATTTTTTTTTTGTGTAGTTGAATGTTTAATACAATACAACCCAAAAGTAGGTTCTGAATGATCTATTCACATATGATTAGAACACATATAAATGAATACAGCTAAATTTACTTTTAAGCTTCACTCTGTTGCTAAGTATTTAGTGAATTACTCCCATCCTTTCCCATTCAATTCCCTTGGGTCTCCTAAAACTGGCAGTTTTTCAGTCTCAGGAAGGCATGTCAATTTTCTTTGCATAGCCAACTATTATATATTGGCTAAATACAATAATAATAATAAACTGCCTAGCATTTACATAGTACTTACAATATGCCAGGCACTGTGCTAAACACTTTTCAAATATTCCCTCAATTAATCCTTACAACAAAATCACGTACTATTATTCCTCCAGTTTACAATTATGATAACTTAGAAAAACCTAAGTGAAGTGACTTGCTGAAAGTCACACAGCTGGTAGATTTTGAACTCAGGTCTTCCTGACTTCAACCCCAGTTCTCTAGCCAATGTCTTTTAAAAACTAAAATCATTTAATTTAATAATTTAAAACTAAATAATTCAATCATTTGAAAATATTAATTTTATTCTCATTTCCCTCCATTTCCTTCTTTATATTGTACTAGAAGAGGCAACATGGAATAATAAATAGAAAGTTGGGCTTGAAGGCAGATGCTACAAATGTTATGCATATTGCTACAAATCCCAACTCAGCTGTTAACTGTGTGACCTTGAGCAAGTCACTGAACCTATTGATGATTTAGGCAGCTCTAGAAGACTACAAATCACAGGGAAGATGATGACTTGAATTGGTAGGAGGACTTTTGTTACCAGGATTGCTGTAACAATGAAATCTCAGGTCTAGTTGCTATCTCATATTTTACTAGTCATTTCCTAATCAACATTTATGTTCAACTAATCTGAGAATCTCAATAATTTATAAAAAAAAGTATTATTAAATCATTTGGTTGAATATGTTTTTAGCAAGACAAACACTGACTTTGCTAAATATTTCTGTTCTTTTTCAAAGACCAGCAATTATCTTATATGAACTTAGAAAGGAAATTAGAAAGGGCTATGTTTTAAAATAGTTTAATCTGGTCTGAACTAATCTAGTTAATCAAAGTTTATCTAGTATTCACATTCTTTTTTGCTAGAAACAATAGTTAATGCACATATTTCCTATAGCATTTTGCTAACAGATGGTTCCATAATTCTTGTCACACTTTCAAATTTGCATATGAAATTGTCTTATTTCTGACTTGTTTTTCTTACTCATCAATAAGTAGTTTGGGGAAAAAATGATTTCTATTCCTAAGAAAGTATTTGACAAATTATTCATCTCACTTTATGAATATATCTCCCTTGTATTAGGAAGTAAAGTGCAATATGACATTTTATACTGAGAAACAAAAACAATTAATGGGTTGATAAATCATAAGATCCTTTTTTTTATAATATAAAATATTTAAAATGGATTTTATTTTTTTTGCCAAGACATTGTAGATAGCAAGATTCAGGAACACCACTTAGGACATTGCTAATTTTGCACAATTAATCTAGAGATGACTTTCCCAAGTACCAACTTATCTTTATATGCACATGGCCATTTCTACGAATTCATACATGAATTTTTTTTTAAAGAAAAAAGCCATTAAGTAACGCTCCAACGCAACAACAGCAGCAGTAGCAACAACAGAAACAGTAAAAATCCATGAAAAAAATAAATCTTGGACAGCTTGATTTGAACAACGAAGTCATTGTGTAGATCAAATTAGAGTTTCTCATGTAACTTCTCACATAAGCATTACACATAAGCTTCCAGCTAGCTCTAATAATGATGATAGCTTGTATTTATATGACATTATGTGATCAAAACACTTCAGAAATGAAATGAGAATCTTGTATCATTGTAATGTGTTTCAGCATGGCCTTAAATAAATTTTACATAAGATTACTACTTTAAAGTTAATGTCATTATTTTGTTAATGCATAGCTTTTGCATTCTAATTCCATCCAATTTTTATTAATCTTATTCCATCCAAGCATTTTATTGATCTTAAGGCCACCACCATGATCTTTTTTATTATGTCAGATTGGATCAGAATGGGGAGAAGCACTACACTCACTGGTAAACCAGAATAATAAATTCTCAAGTGTGATTATAATTTCAAATTCTATGCCACTTATATAAGTAATATATGAGGGTAAAATTATTGAATTTCGTATCTCTACAAATAGAACAAATTTTCCAAATACATATATATAATTGTTTTAATTTATGAATCCAACCATACTTCTCAATGGTTTTCTGCTAAGCATACTATAAAGTTTATATACCCCCAACAACTTTCAAAATAAAAATCAAAACTAAGGGAATATTAATTCATTTATTAATTTACAAAATATGAACAAATTATCTGTATAGCTTAGCTCTATGTGAATGTAGCAATGGCAGACTAGGATCAGAGTAGCTGGACCATCCAATATCTTTTACTTGTCTATAAGGCCATGTCAAATAGCTGGGAGTCAGAAAACTTATCATTTGATCAGATAAGAAACTGGACCAAAATTATCTTGCAATTTGGTCTCGGCCTGTTTCACCCCCATACTATAGTTACAGGTTAAAGGGTTATTTAAAAGACTTATCAGAATATTTCCAATAATAATTCAATTCATTTTGAACAGTTTTGTCAAGAATTTTTTTTTTGTTTTAGTAAGAAGGTCTACAATAACTGATTAGGGCAGGAAGTTAAATTATTTTAGTTTTTAAAAGACATTTTTAAAAGACATTGGCTAGAAAACTGGAGTTGAAGTTAGGAAGACCTCAGTTCAAAATCTACCAGCTGTGTGACTTTCAGCAAGTCACTTCACTTAAGTTTGTCTAAGTTATCAATAAGTTATCAATAAAATTATTTAATTATAATGATGGGCCTATAAAGAAGCTATACACCTCATAACCTTTTCTACAATATATAATTTTGTTTAAAATGTTACTACACTACACTAATACCTATATTGAATCAATTAATGTTCAATTGAAAATGGGTAGATGTTTGTGTGTTTCAATAAATTTAAGTTATGTGAGCATAGATAAATAGCAGAACCTAAATAAAATAGTTAATATGAAGCACATGAGACAACGACATTATTTCTACACCTTCATATCATGGCTAGGCTTGTCAATGAGCTCAGTTGGGTGTAATGGGTCACATTTTATGGTCTATGTTGAGTCTCTTTCCTTTAGATATGTAAAATCTTAACTCCATACTTAGTCATGAATGGAACCACAACAGGTTTGTATACAAGACTAACTAGAGTGCAAACAGAATATATATATATATATATATATATATATATATATATATACTTAATAAAACAAAAGTTACTCACCTAACTGGGTCTCCTGAATTGTCAGTTTGCTTTCCAATGGGTACAAAAGTTTTGGTGGTTTATCTGTCAGTGGAGCTAAAACAAAAAGAAACAAACAGATACCATTGGTTTATATATAGCATATAATGCAATAGATCTTATCAAGTGTATCCCAAAGTATTATATCAAAGCACTTTAATTAAGAAAAAGCTTTCTTATTATAGTAAACAATCCACTTAGACAAAGGAAAAGGTGATTATATTAAACACAATAATTAAATATCACACTTCTAAGCTGACAGCCAAATAATACTGAAATTTTTAAATAAGACTGGATAATCCTTAAAAATATTTTAAAATGACTGAACAAGAGGTATTTAATAAATACCCTTCTGTTTCCTTATGGGAGTCCCCATTGTTTCTATTTATAGATATAGCATGAAAAATATAATCACCATAACAAATATTAATATGATATAAAACAGAATATAATATGAATATAATATATAACACAATACAAAATATTATATATTATATAACATAATAAATTATAATGAAATAATAAAACTAAATGTAACATAATATAATCTTTAAAAAATAACATAATATAAACCTGCCATATAACTAATATGAATTCAGTGAATGCTTATTTATGATGGTATCTTAGTCCTCTGAGACTTCAGCACAGATCTCTTTATACTAGACTCTACTGTTTCATAATTATGCCACTCAGTCCTCTTACTATATACTTCCTAAAATTTCCTTTTATGAACTAAGTAGCAAAATTACATTGTTGTGAGCATACTCAGTCACCAATCCCAATAAAGCACTTCTAAAGTGATTTTTATTCAAAGTAAATATTTTAATATTGTTTTGCATCATGTGTTGTTTATTTACTGTTGGTTTCCTTGATTTGCTCTCATTTAGTATAAACTTGAGAGGTCTTTGCTCTTAGGTTTATTCAGTTTATCTAGATATTAGGTCTAAAAATGGGTGAAGTATTTAACTCATTAAGTAAATCATGAGTTACCAAAAAGTCAGTGAATACTTCACTCTTATGATTTCTTGAGTAACTAGATTGTAGGCAAATAGCCAACTCTCTTTCATTAAGCTTTGTTTTTTTCTGAACTGATTTAATTATATAGGTCCCCTGGAACAAGCCATAAAAATTTCCACTCCTTATCAAGTACAGAGATGATCAATTATGAGTGGCTGTACTAAATGTTTCTGCATTGAGGACTTTCTTCTTTCCTTGCCAACTTGGCATGCCAGCCCAGTTGAGGTCTGGAATGCTGATCTAGCCAATAGTGCCAGGATTTGTCCAGAAGTCCTCATTTACAGAAGAATCAAGAATTAAAACTGATCCACCAAATATCTTCCATCAGTTTAACAAGAGCATGGCTTGGACAAAATGATGTAATTCATTGGAAAATACGAACCCATTTCAAGCTGGCTTAGGTCATGGTTGTAGGAATAACCTTTAAAACTGAATGGAATCAAATATTTACCCATCCTCACTTGACATTTATTCTGAATTTGCTTTCATTTCTATTTTGTAATGATTAAAATAGGGAGAAAAAGAGAAAGCTGGTGGAGTTGGTGAATCACAATATTTATTAATGGAATTGGGGCAGCTTATACCCACAGATACATCCCACTGTTTCCTTACAGATTCCAACTGACCACTTTTATCCTCTCTACTAAATGTCATTTTGCTGAATCACTGAACATTAGCAGAGTAGGTCCTTCATTCTCTGAAAATTGCACTATTATAGGATGGAGCTAAAGAGACTTTCTTTGTAAGTGGATTGTCAAGTTCAACCACCTCATTTTTCAGATGAAAGAGGCAATGCTCTGAGAGCTGAGGAGCATGGTAATGTTTCTGAGATCCTAGACTCTTAATTGATGCTAATGGGTTTCAAAGTGGACTAAGGTTATATTTACCAGTCTTAAAAAGAGTTGGTTAATTTAATCAATTAAATTTGAAAAATAATTTAATGATATCAAATAAATAAGTTAAATGGATTGTATAGTATTAAGTAGAACTTCCACAAAACTATATTCTTTTACTGCACAGATACATTGAAGAAAAAAATTGCTGGGCACCAATTGTAAGTTAAGTAAAATTTATTAAGAACATAATTTTCTAAAATATATAATAGTTATTCTTTTCCTGAAGGATGTAAAATTACATATGGACAACTACATACATACATATCTATGTACACACATACATACATGCATATATTCACATATAGATATATGTATATATAACACACATAAATATGTATATATAAACATAATGTAATAAATATATAAATAAATATTAATATTTAATGTATAAATATCACATAATATAACTATATTAAGTATATAAATGTATGTATTATATATTTCTATATCTATATGTAAACATTGGACAAAGTGTGTTTTAGGTCTATTGAGATCTGTACCTATCTATTTATCTATATCTGCAACTCAGTTATAAAACATCCCAAGAAAGACAATAGTCAATAAACATTTATTAAGTGCATACAACATCCCAGGTACTATGCTGGGGATACAAATAAGAGAAAGACTAGATAATCCCTGACCTCAAGAGAAGTATATAATCTAATGGGAGAAGGTAATAATGAAAAGAAAGCTGAAATGGAAGTAATGTTACAGGGGTATGAGCTTCATGAGTTGAAAACAAGCAGAGCAACTGTTGGGGAAAAAAATTTAACTGGAAAATTCTGAGTCACCTATAAAGGGAGGTTTTGGTGGAAGTTTAATAATCATTTCTGGGATGAAATAACATCTGTTCCTCAGATGTCATATATAAAAGCTGTGGACAGAACAGTGATAGTGAAGTCAGAGGATCTGTTTTCAAATCCCAGCTTTTCTAACTGCTACCTTGTAATTTTGGGCAAATTAGATCCCTTTATGTGTTTCTATTTCCTCAATTAAAAAAAAAGGTTTGGCTAATGGTAATGGTTTAAGAACCATTTCATTCATGTAATGCTGCTGACACATTCAATCTCATAATTTACATTTTAAGAGTCTAAATCCTAAGACCCTCATTATATAAGCATCTTTAAATAGAAGAGTTGCTATGACCTTAATGACTAAAATGATTTTCTTTTCTAGATTATTTATCACCTTGAACATACATATGAATGGAAACTTCCAGAGAAGCCAGTAACTTAATAATTGGATTAGACAAAGCAGTAACTCATGAAGCTAAGGTTCAAGTGCACATCTACTCAAGGGTGACAATTTTGCTATCACAATTGATGAACACTTATCAAGATATTCACAAATTCAATTCTTGACACAGAAAACCAAATTGAATTTAAATAAAAAAATTAAGCAATAGGAAAGACACAAACCCTGTCTTTAATTCATTTCTTCAAGGTTCAACATATAATTGAAAGAAATTTCAAGAAAATTACTTCCAAATAAACAAAAATGAAATTATTTGCATCAGACTATGACCAGACCAATTATCATTTTAATATCAAGAAAACAGCAGGCCTTTGGGGATATTTCATGTATGTTTAAAGACCCTGTGAACTTATCCATGTATATGCATATATAACATAATCATATATTATATACATATATGATTTATATGTATTATTTAATAACTTACTAGATATCACTATGAATATATAAATATATATAGTGTGTGGGTAGAGGTAGATACATACATACACACAAATATTTATACATGTATACATATATGTCCATGTATAGTCACACAATCTCTATTTTTCTCTCAATATGTATATATGTACTTATACATATATACATACATACATACATATGTGTGTGTATCATTTTATCTATCCATCTATCTCCACATACACATGATCACATAACTAGATAGACAATTATTGCTTTCAAATACAACTTAAATTAATTAGGGGGAGACCATGGGCACAAGAAAGTTCAGCTACAGGGCAGATGGAAAAAGCCAAAATTCCCCAAGGCAAAGCAGAGTCAGCTGTAAAGGTCTAGAGGTCTTTTGGTTATATCATGTAGGTCAGATGAGGGATATTATTGTGGGATAGACTTCAGGGGAGGAGAAGCAGGTCAGATGCTAAGATCCTTCATCTCACCAGAAATAATAGAGAATGATTCCCATCTCATTCAAGGTATCCAAGTTATAGAGCATTTATGGCTTCTGAGCAGCTCCAACTCAAAGAAGGGGATAAAGGGGAAAGGAAAGAGAGGAAGATATCCCAGAGGTGGTGATTCTTCCCATAGTCTAGACATCTTGGATGGATTCTCTGACTCCCCAGGGCCAGGGGAAGGATATATTCTTTGATGAACTAGGGCTGGAAGAAGGGATAAGAGAGTAAGGGATGCATTTAAGCTTACTATTAACATAAAATTCCTCCTAACCACAACTAAATCTACAAATTAAAAGTGATTCCCAAATGGGTTTTAGATGCTTATACAATTGACAAAAGAAGTGTTTGAAGAACCATTTCATTCATGTAATGCTGCTGACATATTTAATCTCATAATTTACATTTTAATACTGCCTAAAAGTAGATGTCTTACACGAATCTAGATAACTCAGACTCAAGTAAATTCAGAATTGTGTTCCATTTGTGCTTTCTTTGCCATGTTGTGTATTAATATTAGTTTCCACTAATGTTGTCTAATATTTGTGACATCTATAGCAACCAGAAGCAAACTTATGTTGTAAAAGAATGTAGAAAAACTCACCAAAGGACACATGTACACACACACACACACACACACACACACACACACACACATATTTACATTTGTCCTCTACACCCCCAAAATATCAAGAGTTTCCTCTTTTGTAGTATGTGAATTTCACAACTGAAGGATGTCATTGATGCTTTATAAGCCATAATCCAGGTGGGAGGGCCATGAACGTAAATGAATGTGTCCTTAAAGGTACAAATTATGTCCAAACTTCTAGAGTATAATAAAATACACCATTAGATGCAGAGGTGTACCAAAACACAGAAGTAATGTTTCCCTTAATCGGCATAATGTATTAAACATATTCAAGGTAAACTAGTTAAAGCAATTTTCTTTATGTAGTTGGCATAACTGTTTTTGTTGCATCCC